TTGGGCAGCACATAACAACGGTAACTATTGCTAACTTATAGTTCTGTTATTTCTCTATATAAATGTGTAACTTGTAATATTGCAGTGATTAAACTAAAGATAATGAAATTTAAGTCAATAGTCGGGACATGGTAGGTCGCCAACATAATATGTTATTGCAAGAAATTGAAATGATTTAAATTGAATATTTTGGTACCAGAAAAAAGTAGCTTAACTTTAATGTAGCGGTACATAGCAGTTTAGCTGTCTTTATTTATGCGACCCTTTTATTCTGTGGAGTAAAGATATATATAATTATGTTAAATAATAACTATACTCGAGTCGAGTGTTCAGGTAAATATTTTTTGATAAACTCTTTATTACGTTAACTATTTGTTAACAATATACCCATTCAAATACCAACCACCCGTTCTGCAGTTTAACTGGTACAAACTAACAGATTATTTTTTAGTATAAGTAACATTTCAACGTCAGATATCTTTAGTAAAAACTGCCATAATGGCATCACCAATAAAATAAAATAAAACCTCAATGCAGTGAACATAATAATTTTACAGTGTTGACATTTTTTTATTAACATTTAATTAAAATCATCATTGTTAGAACACTGTTTGAGTGTAGTTAGTTAAGGTATATAGTTAGCTAACGTTATATACGATTAAAAGATGTATTACATAACCCGCTCTCATCACGTTCACTTTTTCTGGTAAGTGACCAAACTTAGAAGAATATTTCTTTTGAACTTTACAATTGACAGTAAACATTGACTAGTCTATTTACTGTGAACCCCAGCCTTTCTAAATTTAGAAGAAAAACATATACGAGTATCTGTAGACTGATGTTCAAGAGAATAATATTTTTTTAAATGTGGCATCGCTAAATGCTGGCTTTAAACGAAATTCTTTTACATCTGTCACGTGAACAGCTCCAACCGTATTTCACGTGTTTAAGGCTATCATAAAGATAACCCGGATTACCTTTTTATTTCTTCTCTCTTTTTCCGAAACATAAACAGACAAATTCAAATAAAGCTAAACATGGCTTGACTTGGTACTTCAAGCGTGAGGGCTTCTGGATACTGGCGCCACTTTATGTAGTCCGTAATGGTATAAGTTGGGGTCTCATAGTAACATGGTTACAGTTTTTTATTTTACCCATCGTAGCCACTCACAATTTATTTTGCCTTGACAAAGATTTGAGCAAAACTGTGACATTATTTTCACAAGATATCTTGGTTAGTCAAATTCTTTAACCATTATCACAATTAATGTCTTTCTATCTAAAAATGTAGCACCAGTTATTTACAATTGAGCATTTTTTTTTTAATAAAAGATCATAGATGAGCACATGAAATCACCAACAACAATATTTGGTTTATTGCTTTATTAAATGTAAACCTATTTTAAAAACATGTATCGCAGGTGTCTTACCGTGCGCATATCGTGTCTGTCGAATGTTCAACCCTAATTTGTTTTGTGTATTTATAATGTAAAATAAAAGTTACATAAACACACAATTTTGTATTGTAAAAGATCTTGGTACTGACCAAGAGTCATTGTGGTAGGGGGATTACCCCCGTGGGACTACTTTTCGGCTCAAGAATTTTTGTGGCTACATAAAACGACGGTCTCAAGTAGTACACATGTCTTAGAATAATCCTCAGAGGTTTGTTAGCCCGTAACGAGACCCTTCAGGGATTACCGCCAACGACAAGCTGAAATTTTAAATCATCTTTCTGTACCGTTTTAATCACAAATGACTTACAACCGGTAAGTCTATTAAGATATTATAATTAGTAGTAGGAAGGGCATACGAGCAGACGGATCACCTGATGGTAAGTGACTACCACCGCCCATGGATACTTGCAACACAAGAGTCACAAGTGGCGTTTCTACCCTCTCAGTCCCTGTCCCTGAAAGCAGGGGGCGAGAATTTGGGCTTCGAAAACCTCACTCACTCGGTGAAAAGCAACGAAAAACTGCTTAGCACCAGTTTTCTGTGAGGACGCGGTATCGTTCCACATCGTGCTGAATGCCACAGCGTGGCTCAGGCTCTCTCTCTTCTGTGTCTCGATTGCAGTTAAGTTCTTAATCCTATGTTAGCAGATAGACTGACAGATAACTGTAACCTTTATGTGCTTTTTATCCGTTATACCTGAAAATAGAGTACTTGTTAAATAGGTTTTTTTTTTGTTATAGAACAGGGGGCAAACGAGCAGACGAGTCACCTGATGGAAAGCGCCTACCGCCGCCCATGAACGCCTGCAACTCAGGAGTCACAAGCGCGTTGCCAGCGTTGCAGTAATCAATATGAATGTGATAAATACTTTTCTTATGCACCAGGGTGTTTATTGAGATTATTGGCCTACCTGGCGGGCCTGTTGGTCTAGTGGTTAGTGGCCCTGACTGCTAAGCCGGAGGTTGTGGGTTCGATTCCCAGCCAGGACAAATATTGTGTGATGAGCACGGTCATTTGTTCTGTGTTTGGGTGTAATTTATCTATAATATGTATGTATTTAAAAATATATAAATATGTTTATCAGCTGCAGTCTGGTTACCATAGCACAGGCTCTGCCTAGTTTGGGATTAGACAGCCGTGTGTGAGATGTGTGAAGTTATTATTATTATTATATTGCCACTTCCGTTATTGATAGATAAAGCGTTATAACGCGTTATAAACGCGATAAAATGTTACAGTATCTTTAGTTTACCTTGAAAGGTGAACTAACTATTTTAGTTAAATATGCCAATAGTTTTGACTTTAGTTTTATGAGCATTTTATTACGTATAGCTCAGTTAATAGTAATTTTATAACTAAGTTTCCAATTATACGAGTATCAACAAAATGATGAAATACATAAAACTGACTAAATATATTATAAATGTTTGTTTTGTAATGAAATTTGGAATAGATAAACCCGTTAGAGAGCTTATATTTTTGTTGGGCGTTTTTATTGATGTTAAACAAACTTAACCGCCACTGTAAACTACGAATCCTAGTTGTGATGTGTCAAGTTTTACAGCCTCTCGTAAAACGGCTTTTACCCTATTTCCGACACAAAACTTTATTCAAGGTGCACATAAAATCGCAACAAATATACGATTACTGGTTTATGGGGAATATTGTGAAATCATCTTATAACGCTCTATCGATACTTTTAAACGTTTATTTTTTTGAGAGGAAATATAATCTCTGTAAAAACCCCGATGTACAAATAAATTATTATCTATCTAAGTATTCACATTCATGTTTATTCAATTTAAATATTATCTATTTAACAGGTACTTATATTTCAGGTATAACGGATGAAAGCACCCTATATTATTTAATGTCTCCCTCGTAACGTGAATGTATAATTTAAAAATGTTCAGATAAACGTTATGGTGAAACGAAATACGAAGAAAGTAATATTGATGCCTATCTGTTTACATAGGATTAAGAACTTAACTGCAATCATGACACAGAAAAGAGAGAGCCAGATCTGTGCTTCAGAATGATAGCACGGCCTCACAGAAAACAGGTGCTAAACGATTTTTGGTTGCTTTTCACCAAGTGAGTGAGTTTACTGGAGCCCGAATTCATTTTCTCTGATTCTGGGAAGGGCATTTAAAAGGCATGCATTAAAAAATAAACGAACTCATAAATAACACCGACAAAAGGACTTATTTAGTTATGTCAATTGCAACTTTAAAAATGGTTTGACATTATTATTATAAGTAATAGGGGTTAAAGTATGAAATTGGCGTTGTCTATACAACGGCAATTTAATATACTCGTACTTTGAATTGACATAGTTTTGGCATTTGGACGCGGAACTAACGTGGCAGAAACGGATCGCAATATCAACGTTGCGTTTGAAACTGCGCTAATGAACGAACCGTGCGTTTTTGGTTTAAACGGTTTCATAGGAATTCATCGGAAACTTCAACTTGAAGAACGAACCACGTAGAAGACCGCCCACACAAATAATATTGAATTGAAGGAGATGGTTGAAGCCGATCTAAGTCAAACTACCCAGGAATTAGCAGTTTGGTTTAAAGTTACCCTACCTACAATATTGACTCATTAGCATTAAATCGTGATTTGACTGATCTGCAGAAAGAGTTACGTGCTAAAACTTGTGTTGTCTTGTTGAATCACATGTGACGAAAAATGTGTTGTTTACGATAACCGTAAGCGAAAAATGCAATGGCTGACTGACCTGGGGCAGTCAACAGTGCCCTAAGCAAAGCTTACCAATAAAAATGTAATGGTAACTGTTTTGGTGGTCTCTTCATGGTGTTATTCACTATAGCTTTCTCAGGTTATGTGAGGCAATAGCAGCAGATATTTGCTGTGCCGAACTTCGAACAATGATGGCGAAACAGCCCCGACTCGTGAATCGATCTGCACCATTATTGCTCCATGATAACGCAAGACCTCACACTGTACGAAACGTTGCAATTCTACAGCAGCTGTAGTTAGAAACCATACGTCATCCTCCTTACTCGCCAGACCTTGCTCCAACGGACTACCATATTTTTCGTGATTTGGACAATTTCCTACGTGATAAAAATAAAAAATATCTTCCCAGGAGGCAGTACAAAATGCTTTCACGCAGTTTGTCCAATCTAGATCTCCGGAGTGCTATCATAAAGGCATAAATGAACTGCCGTTTAGATGGCAGAAATGTAAATATAATTAGGGTAAGTATTAGAAAAAAGAGTTTTAAATTTTGAGTACAAATCGACAATTTCATACTTTAGCCCAGAATATTACAGCATTTCATAAATTTCACTTAAAGGGAGAAAGTTAGAAACGCATCAGTGCGGCGACATTATCGTTAAGTATTCAATAAAGCAGCGCCCGTGACGGCTCGTGCTCCAACTAAATCAATTCGAGCACTCACAGAGAACATTATTTACAGAATACGTACGTAACAGGTGCAAGGAATACGCCGAGTTTCTGCCAACAATCCGCGTGTAGAACTCGAGCACGTACAACTTAAGTAAGCAGCAATCATGTCGTATAAGTAAGTATTAGGTATCGCCCGCGGGGAAATATCGCAGCGAAGTGGAGCCACGCGCTCTTGCGGTTCTTCGACCAACACCGATCACATTCATTAGTGTGATAGAAAAATAATCCGTATTGTGGTTTACTCCGCCCCATATCAGCTGAGTTTATTAGTTAGCTCATTTGTATAGTAAGTAAATAATAGATTGTAAGCTTCTTACTTATTACTGTTTGGTGTCGTTCTTGAATGAGTGGAAATACAACACGTATACTGATATCTGCTGTAGCATTGTAGGTGAGTAATATAGAGAATGTTTAAATGTCTTATAGCCGAATTTACTGCGGTATAACTTATTATAGAGCGTTGACGATCTTGTCTTGACTAGATCACAAACCCTTGACTGCTAGACGCCATACCTTCCTTGAGTCAATTGTGATAGCCACACATGGGTCAGCTTGCCCGAAATGACACCACTTCCTTGACGTGAGAGAAACATCTCATTTTTTAAAGTAAGGTAATATTAAGGTTGTGGAAATATTGTTTGTCTCCCTGTAAGGATCACGTAGTATGGGCATCTCATTGATAAAACAATATCAGTAGTGTAGGTGCAGGTGCGAGCTGTGCCCGTCGAAGGTCTCGCTGATGCGACGCAATAAAAACACCTGCACAGGATTACGAGACGCTCTCTATTATGGACGCAGAAGTCAGTAGTCGGGTGGATTTAAATTTAGATGGAAAACTGGTTTTTTTGTTTCTGAAAAATTTCTGGAAAATTTGTTTCTGTTTTAGTGATTTTAGCAAAGCTATATGACAGACACAAACTCATTGCGTGGGTGTATTGAACATTTGTTTTTGTTTTCTAGTAATTAAAAACATAATAACAGTAAAAAATCTCATAAACTAAATAATATACCTATTTGTCACTAAATTTTTGTGATTTTTTAGCTATTTTGAATAAGATTCCCAAATGTCTATGAAAATGTAAATAATAAACCCTCAAAGGGAAAATGCTTCAATAACCTGAAAGTGACAGAAGGGGACGATCCATCACTGGAGAACATTTAATGGACTAGAAACATTCCAATGGTTATGTTTGTGTGAGTTATTTCATCATCTAAATGGCGCTAACTGTCAAAGCCTTTCGGGAATACAATTTAATATAGACTCTGTTGGTCGGTTTTCTCGGAGATTACTGATAATGTTGACGAAAGTGCTGCACATTTCTTAAAAAAAAATGGCTTTACAATATGTTGTAAAGCCATTTGAGTATGCTCAGAAAGAAAATATGCTCAATATGGGAATAATATGAATTTCGTAAAAAAATATATTATTCATTTTGTTTTCATACACCTACACCTATAACTGTAAAACATATGAATAAACACCTCTAAATTCTAAAGGAGTTTCTGTAACTTTATAATTAAATCTAAGGTTTTTGTTTTCACACTTACTTATGAAGCAACGATAAATTATCCACGCGACATCTCGCTAACAATGAACGGAGGCTGTTCGTATAGATAGCTAGTAGGTGTATTGGAACGCGCCACATCAGGCCGCGCGTGTATTTCGGCGCGGGCGCAGACGCTCGCCGGTCGGACCGGTCCTGCTCTCCGCCCCCCTCGCGACCAGTTCTGCGACTTATATGGCGGAGGCTCTTGCTCGCAAAAAGTGCCACAGTCTCGCTGCAACCTCGCTCTGCTATTTGTTTTGGTAATCTCCGCGGATCGCGGCCACTCGTAGAAAAACAGCGTGTGAAGTGTATACAGTGTGTCAAGTGTCCAGTGTGTCATGTAGTGTTGGCGGGAGATGTCGCGCCGTCTCACATCATGCTCGCCGTTCGCCATGCGAAGGTATAGTGCACTACAGTTATACAGTGTACATCATTTATTGTTTCGACGACCAGCCCCATTGGTCTCGGGGGCATTCTTTATACCTTGATGCGCTCATCTCACTTGTCTCCATTCAACCCTCATTTGTCTATTGTAATTTGTATAAGTGGGCTATTCCACTACGAAATTTTACAAATTACGTTTCAGATTATTGTATTGTATATATTGTAAAAAATGTGAGACTAAGCTGTTTCGCAAGTTTAACATAAAAAAGTAAATGAAGGATTGAACTACAATCACATCAAAAGACGCAGGCATGATTCGTGGCGTTTCAAATGAGCTGCAACTAATAAAGCCGCTAGGATGGGGTGTAAATGTCAGGTGTCATGCTACCGTCACACAGACGCTCAGCACTCGAGAATTGTACCTACGATATGTGTTCTTTTTTCAAATCTCTCTGTATTGCTGACATAAATTCGTGACGTATACAAGCGATAGGGCCAATCAGAGGTTTCCACAATGAACAAACACGACATTTGTGTTTTACTAGTCCTTGGTTTTTAATATTTTTACTGTAAAATATATTGTAAGGTCAAGTGACAAATGAGGATATATGTATCATATGAAGAAGCTAAAAATACTGTACTGTCCCTGTGACCCTGCTCAAACTAATGACAGTTGGAGTTTGATTAATTACACGAGGGAAAAAAATGTCTACAGTCATGGTCCGAAAAAATCTGCTATATTTTTAAATAATTTATTAAGTTAACAATCAATAATCCTTCACTAACTTTCTCCGCACTAGATCTGATTTTATTTATTTACTTCAGTTAGGAAAACCAACAGCTACAAAAATGATTATGGTCAGATTGATATACTACATCAAGCCAATTACAGGTTTTCACGAATTGAATCACTGTAATTTAACAGAAGTTCTGGAACACTAATCAACACGACACTACACCTATACAATAAATAATAATGGATCTAAATATGTTATCAATGAAAATATTTAAGGTTTAGCATAGTGCGCACAACATTGCTGTTGATATGAAAGAGATCAAAAAAGTACTCCTTGCACATTTTTTTTTTTGCAACACATCTACAGAGAAACTGTATTATACGAGTACATACAATTAGTAGAGTGTAGCTGTGTTTTAACAACTTGTAGTGCTGTGAAGACATTTTGCTGCAGAGTAGTTCTTTTATTATATATATTAACCTCCTCCTTAAGGGATGTCTCTGTCCAGCAGTGGGCTACTAAAGACTGGATGATGATAGAGTTCGTATAGGATCATAAATGTGCCTGATGAGCCGTACCCTTTTAATAGACATTTAATTTTTAGATATCAATAAAATGCACAAGAAACAATTAAAAAATAAGAATAAATTGTGAAATGGTACAATTAAATGTACATTTGGACCTAAAAGTTTATTCTCGGTCTACCTTCTACAACATAAAACATGCCCAAAAGAAATCACACATAACTTTAGTAAATACTTCATTTATACAGTATGGTCTCTTTGCAAATCGACTTATAAACGAGTACTTGTAGATTTGTAAGGAAAAAAAATGGTTAAAATAAAATAACACCTCGCAGAGTTCTCTAAAAATAAACCGACGAAACGTGCAAAACAGTGTGCAGTTTTTGTTCTCCCGTATGGCGATGTAAAAGCCATCAGCGGTTCGTACAAAGTACTGCCAACAAACGAAGAACGTCCGCAGAATGAAAAAGTTGCATAACTAACAGCTGTAGAGCTGTGGACAACGCCAACAGATGCGCGCAAAATATATCGCTTAGGAAAGGAATATTGTTGTTCATATTTGGTATTACATCTGTTAACTTAGCGTTATTATGTATCAATTTGACTTTATATAGAGCAATTGCTTTAGCAAAAGATCGGTTCGGGAAGAGTTCAAGCCATCAAGTTTTGCTTTGTTTAGTAATTTTCTGATTGTCATTACATCTTGATGTCGCAGCATGCCATAGACAGATGTGATGGTAACTTTGGGTGTCTAGTAATAGAAAAGTATCTCCATTTGTTGTCCTTCTTTGCTGTCAGTATTCAATATATATCCCGTCTCGTAATATACTACAACATGAAGTGTACTTGTCTATATGACGTATATGTTATTATCTCACTAATATTATAAACCCGAAAGTTTGTATGTATGGATGTTTGTTACTCTTTCATGCAAAAACGGCTAAACGAATCTGGATAAGATTTGGCATAATGGTAGATCTTAGTCTGGAATAGCACGTACGCTACTTTTTATCCCGAAAAAAGTAGTGTTCACGTGGAATGAGAAAGGTAAAACAACAACCGCAAGCAACACAGGGCCTAGCTAGTATATATAGAGCCAGACTACAGTATGTACGTTTATTATAATATTATATTAGTAAAGTAAACAAATGCAATTATTGTCGAGAGTGTGCCCAAACAAATGTGTCGAGATTTCGCTGTGAGAGTGTCGCACTCGACTTTTGAGTCGTTTACTTAGGGCGCGTGCTGATTCCTAGTGATTTATGAACTGAAAGTGTATTTAAGGTATTTCAGCGTGAGATATTTACTGTTGCAAGTTTATATAGTAATGTTCAACGTTAAAAGGAAGCAGGGTAAAGATGAGTTCATTACATAGAATATACATTTATATGCAAGCAGGAAGTAATTACGTGATAACCTAAAAGAACAAATACGTACCTACACCTGTATTTTTTTTATGGTATTAGGGGGCAAACGAGCAGACGGGTCACCTGATGGTAAGCAACTACCGCCACTCATGGACACCTGCAACTCAAAAATCACAACTGCGTTGCTGCCCTTGGAGTCCCTCCCGCTCGAGTCAGCGGGAGGGAGATTTGGGCTCCGGTAACCTCACTCATTCAGTCAGCAACGAAAGAATTGCTTAACACCCGTTTTCTGTGAGGCCGTGGTATCACTCCGGTCGAGCCGGCCCATTCGTGCCGAAGCATGGCTCTCCCACGGTGACCCACGGTACCCTGTGTGTCAGAACAGTACCAGAACTAAATTAAGCACAGTTAACGAACCAATAGATAAAAACCTTTTATGAAACATAAAATATTGTAAACACATAGTCAGACCCTTAGCCTTTAAGGGTCGTCTCACTGCACCGTATGCAAATTTTTAAAACATCAACTTTAATAGTGTACGAAATATAAACGTCAGCAAATCATACACGAATTTCGTAAACGACTCACTGATATCTATACAAAATTAAATTTTTCACTTTCTAGGTTTAGAAACATGAAATTTAGCACAGGACTAAGATTTGGCAAAATGCATTGGTTACTGCACTTTCTCTTCCAATCTGATTCTGCACACAAGCTTAGCTCAAGGGACCCCTACAATAATACTACACAAATGTTTTTTAACTTAGAACAAAGAAAGTAAACGATGTGATCTTTGAGGCAATTACAGACACAGTTGGCTTATAAATATTTCAGGTATCCATACGCTTTGATTAGAAAACACAATTTAATTATTAAATGAATGTCGTTAGGTAGTATGCCTATTATTTGTTATAACCGTTTAAATTTAGGCATATATTTACGTCCGTTATATAATGCGGAATGTGAGACCTGTTTTGTATTGTAAGATGAATATTTCCTTCTTCTTTTCTCGTATTATCTCATAATAAGTCTTCTTTGAAATTGCAAACCGTTAAGGCACCACTTCTCGGTAGAATTAATACGAATCATTTAATGTTACTGTATATCCCGCAGTAAATAACTCCAGCCTGTACTAAATCAAGCCATATAAACTCGATTTACTGCGTGCATTTAATTACAATGTGGTGCAGCGTATCAGCCGTCGTGAAAGGTTGCACGCATCTTGAGGATATTATCTACATTGTATTTTTAATTTGGTTTATGCTGGAAAACAAAAATGCAAAGCTTCTCTACACACTTGCCAATGAACATGACAGGCCATTGCAAGTATGTACATAGAAGTTGCTCACTGAAAGCCGAAAAAATTAAGACTGTTCTAGACTTAAAAAAAATTGGTTGCCTGTAAAGTCGGTATACGGGCGAAAGTTTTACGTAACAACGACTATGTCTGTCTCTCTCGCTCTTAGGCGGGCTAACCATGCCCGATTGGAAGGGACGCGTGCCTCTCACTCGCTCTCATTGTGAGCGCATAACGTGAGCGGAGCGTAACGCAGTTTCTTGAAGTGTCACCCGGCAAACCAATTTATAAGACGTTGTCACGTCAAAAGACAACAGTTCCTTTGTTATTAGTGCTCTTATATAAGCTCTAGAGCTTTCACTCATAAAATAAAAAATGTGTCTTGTAGTACAGTCAACAGCGAAATTTATTGGTAACTTCCATCTTTCTAACATAATATTTGGTGAAAATATAGGATGGCTTAGACGGTCACATAGTGTACACATAGTAATCATTACAAAGATGAGAATGGGTGACGTAAGCGTAGTTGCTAATATTATAAATTGAAGCTAAAATTCCAACTTATAAATATACGGTGACACTTCTGACTGGGTACTGTCACCCTGAATTTAGGTCGTAGGTTTATTCCATGACTTAAAATTGTAGTTCAGAACCAACGGTTGGTTATTTGTCTTCAATACGTCCGAAGTTTGATTCCTAAATCAAGTTTGTGCAGTCGTTAAGCCTCGCTGACAGGACAAAGCGTATAAAGTGCCGAGTGTGCGCGGCCGACGGTCGATGACCTCGCCTCCAGCTCATTTACACAGCACATACCACAACTATTGTTTTTGTTTATCAATATATATAAGATAAAAATATTCAACAAACTTTTTTTTCATTGAAATCATTCTCACGTAAAATCTGACCCCGATCTTCTTCTTATTAGATATATTATTCTGATGTTTATTTGGGTAATTTCTCGTGTAAAATAGATCATTACACAATTATAAAAGTATGCTACTTTTTATATGTCTAGCGATCAATTCAATTATTGCCGTCTAGTTATGTTTCAATTTTAATTGCAATCAAAGTAAATAGTTAGAAAGATAGCA